AAGACAATTAATGTTCTGGCAAAAAACAAAACTTGTACCCGCATTGCCACTGCTCCTAATGCAGTGCCCAATAAACAGGAGGCACTCAGTGAACAGAATACTAGGTATATCAGAGATTAGCAGATCCAATCCATTTATCTTACAAATTAGTACAATGAGATCTAGAGGGTTAAGCAACTTGCCCAAGAGTATGATGTGAATTACTGGCAGGGCTGATCCTAGAACCCAAACTTTGAAAATGTTTTAAAAGTCTAAATTCTCTAAAGCACAAAGTCCTTGCAATGTGCTGACAGAGGAATATACACAAGACAGTGAAAAACTTAAAGTTAATTTTTACTGAACTTAGATTTTAGCATTAGTTAGTAAGAAATTTAAAACTCAGCTATCAGAAAGACAGTGTTAGATTTACTATTATTATCAAGGGAAGAAGCTACTTCCAAAAACCTAAAAGGGTAAATTCATTACCACATTTCCCCCCAACACTTTATCAACACTTAAAATAGCATAGAAAGAAAGATAGAAATAGTTTCATGTGCTTCTTTTTATGTACAGAATTTTGTGTGAAAAGAATGATTTCAAGCAAGAAAAAAGGTTAATTCCCAGGCCACAAGTCTGTTAAAGTATTGATTATTTTAATCCTATTGATTTAAAAAAAAGTGAAGGGGTTAATTAAAACCATGTACATTAGGAAACGGCAAGATAAAAATGTTTATCATTTATAGTTTACTAAGTGTTATGCACTGTGCTAAATAAGCACTTTACACATACCACCTCTGTTTTACAACAAACTTATGGGATAGGTAATATAATTATCTCCATTTTGCTGATTATGAAAATAGGAGCTGCCTCTGAGTAACTTACTCAGGTAGTGGCAGAAACAGAACTTGTTCTCAAACCTGTTTGCCTCTAAGTGATATGCTTTGGATTTTGTTGTTGTTGTTTATTTTTTTGTAGAGATAGGGTCTCACTATGTTGCCCAACCTGGTCGCTAGCTCCTGGCCTCATGTGATCCTCCCAGCCTCTCAAAATGCTAGGATTTCAGGGGTGAGCCACCACACCCAACACTAAAAGCTGTGCTTTGAACCACCCTCCTATTCAAGCTCTATCAAGTTTCTGATGCTCTATAATTTAGATCAAGGTCAATCCATCATATCTAAGGGGGAGGCTACATGATCACCAAGGCCCCTTCTAAAAATGATTCTGTATCACCAAACACATAAATCGGTTCTGAATTCACATAATATTTCTGACAGGATACTCCAGGCCCAAGGGGAAGGCCATCCGTAGATGAACAGATACGAAGAGGAGAAACGGGAAGAAAAATTTAAAGAAGGAGGAACAAGATCTTTATCAACATGGCCTTCCAAGGTGCCTAACATAGCTAGACATAACATTTTACTAGACATCAGGACCACTGTGACAAAAGTGGGAAAGGGGAACCTAGAACAGGAATTGAAAGCAGAACTATAAAGGACGTATGTAAATTTAAATAGCTTAGCCCACTGATGTGATTCCCTCATAGCAGATGAGGAAGGAGCTGCAGGAGCCAGTGACCATGAGCTCAATGCTGGGCCAAAACACAGACTTCTAACAGAAACAATGATCAGCAGTTAAATGGGAATGGTGGGGTACTAAGTTTTCAGAAGAGCCTTTACCACTATCGCCATGCATTTGGATGACAGTGAATTTTCAGGACAGAGTTGTAAAGGAACTAGCATTTGTTCCATTAAGTTGTTTAAATTCCTACCATGTTCTATGCACCATCCATGTGGCTTTCATGTGTTATCACACTGAACTCTGACAACAACCTTGGTGGATGTGATGATTAATTTTACATGCCAACTTTATAGGCCATGGTGCCCGGCTATTTGGTCAACCATCATTCTAGATGTTTTAGTGAAGGTATTTTTTGAATGAGATTAACATTTAAATCAGCGGACTTTAAATCAATGGACTTTACCCTCCATAATTTGAGTGGGCCTTATCTAATCAGTTTAAGGCTTTAATAGAACAAAGTTTGACTTCCCCTGACTTTGGGAGGCCGAGGCAGGTGGATCACTTGAGGTCAGGGGGTCAAGACCAGCCTGGCCAACATGGTAAAACCCTATCTGTATTTTTAAAACTGCAAAAATTAGCCAGCCATGGTGGCAAGCACCTGTAATCCTAGCTACTTGGGAGGCTAAGGCAGGAGAATTGCTTGAACCCGGGAGGCAGAGGCTGCAGTGAGCCGAGATCTCGCCACTGCACCCCAGCCTGGGCAACAGAGCGAAACTCCAACTCAAAAAAAAAAAAAAGACTGACTTCTCCTAAGCAAGAAGAAATTCTGCCAGCAGAATGCCTGTGCATCCAAACTGCAAACTCTCCCCTGGGTTTCCAGCCTACCAACCTTCCCTGAAGATTTTGGACTTACTAAGCCTCCACAACTGCATGAGCCAATTCCTTAATAAAAATCTCTCTTGTAGAGAGAGAAACACACAGACACACACCCTGACAATATAATAGATATTGCTCCCAATTTTACCACTGAGAAAAATGATGGCCTGACAAGGACCCATTCTCCCTCTTGACTATATCACACACTAAAATGTGTGATTCGGGACTCACATTCTAGCCTGAGGGACTCAGGTGGGAGGTACACGGTAATAAGCATGCAACACTGTAACCACAAGCCACACATTCCAGAGAGCCCTTTATGACACTGATACCACACATACTACACATGTACCCAGAGCCTTGATGTGCCCAAGTGATGTACTATCCTTTCTCTGGTCTCCTAATTCAGTTATTTCAGGTAAAAGAAATCAAATATTCCTACCTAAATCAATATTTGAAGGCTTTGAAAAAGGAGGAAAAAATAATTAATAAAGAACTAAAGTAAAAGATAAAAAGAAAAATACAAAATGATTTATGACAATTAAATGATGGTAGCCTTTGTTTAGGTTCTTTTTGGATAATCATGCATTCACTCTCTCAACAGCTATTTTGTGTTTTATACTTTTTTATAGGCTCTTCTAGGTATTGTAGAGTACTAACTAGCTAGAGGGACACGTACAATATAGAAATGAGCAGGATGAAAAAAGACCAACTAAATTGCCTTAAAAAAGTCAGATTCACAGAAGAGGTGACATTTCTGCAGGAATAGAAGTATGAGCTTAAATAGTGGAGAAGAGGGATGTTATTCCAGACAGAATTTCTGACACAGTAAAAGTCATCTGAGTCTGTTAGGTTGCTAAAAGTGGGAGCTGGGATGGGGAATTATGGCAGAATGTAAAGTTGGAACGACCAGCTAGGGTTTCATAGTAAGGAACAATGGATTCCCATGCCAAGGTGTTTGAATTGTATTTCTAAGGAGTGTAGTGGCCAAGAAAGGAATCTACAATAAAGGAACATAAAGTAGGAACTAAGGTACTAACAAATAATTTGTTCCCTTCCACCCTTTCACTCTTTCACTCTCTCCTTTTCTGCTGATAGTTCTCTTTTTCATCGATCCCAATGGGATTTTAGAGATCTTCCATTCCAATAGTCCTCTCCCCATTTTACTTTAGCAGTTGAGCTCTGCAAATAGTTGTATATAAAATCCCAGCATATAAAACAGATAAAAGCTGAAAGAGATCCAACAGGGGGGTATTGGAGCACCTAATTTGGCCTCCACTTCAGCCTTCATCCACTTTCCCTCTGAAACAGCTCCCCAAAGAGCCCTTAATTTTCCTCAATAAAGTGTGAAACACATTGGTCTTTGTCCCAACCCTCCCAATTTACAAATGAGGGAATTATGCCTAGAGAATTAATTTAAGGGAGTTGCCTGAGAAAAAAGACTATTTCCTGGTATCCCTGGTAAAATTAAAATGTTGTATCTTCCTCATAAACTTGAACTCAAATGTCTGAGTTAAAAATTGTTTCTTGGCTGCACACAGTGGCACACGCCTGCAATCCCAGCCCTTTGGGACATCGCTTGAGCCCAGGAGTTCAAGACCAGCCTAGGCAACATGGCAAAACCCCATCTCTATTTTTAAAAATAAAAAAAAATTTTTAATTATTTCTAAGTTATTCCGGAAGTCTATGACATCCCTCTACCACAAATTCCCATTCAAAATTCATATAAGGGCTGGGCTCAGTGGCTCAAGCCTGTAATCCCAACACTTTGGGAGGCTGATGCAGAAGGATTATTGAGTCCACAAGTTTAAGACTAGCCTGGGCAACATAGTGAGCCTTGTCTCTATACAATCAACAACAACAAAATTTCACGTAGGTCTATAACCACATATTATATGAGTGCCTACTTGAGGCCAGATACTCTGCTAGGAACACGTTATCTGCTCTCACTTAACCATCACCACAAACCCCAAGAGATCAAGGAACTAGGCTCAGAGAAGTACTGTAACCTGCCCAAGGTCATAGAGCTAGCAGGGTAGAATCTGGTTCTACCTGACTCCTAAAACCAAGCTTCAGACCCTTGCACTTTTTCTAATCCCAACCCTTTCCAAATCTTTTCCTATTTTTACACAGGCTTTCAGAAATGCTGAACTGTAAGGATTCCTCGTCATTTCACAGAGGATGTACTTTTCCATCAAGACCTGTGGGGGAATGCCTCATGCTGCAGCCAAGCACAAAGGCATCAAGCCTAAAAAGCTCTAAAATCATGTTACAAACCATAGAAAGGCTAATCCCCAACCCCACCACAAGCTCCTACAACTCCTTTTACAACCATAGGCTACACACGTTCAGTCTTATGGGGAATAGGGATTTCAACAATTCTTAATAATAGGGCTACAAAATCAGCTCTGAGCTGACCCCTTATGAGAGGTTGGTTTTTAGGATGGATAACTATCCAATATTATCTAGTAGGTAAAGATACTAGAATTTGCATTTAGGGCTGCCTTGGGGCAAAGGATGACTATCACCGCAGACTAGGTAGCAGAGCTGGTATTTAATAATTTGAATTTGAGGGAAGGTCAAGGGAGTTCGGATTGGGGCACCCTATGGGAGCAGGCGGAGTTGAAGTGACTGCCGTGTCCAATTGCAGAACAGCCTGAATCAAGAGTACGGAGCCAGAACTACTACCAAATTATTGGTAATGGGAGGAGAAAAATTAAACAAAACTGGGATTTGAGACCACCTTCTGGAAGACATGAGCCCAAGACCGAAGAGATCCCAGGCATCAAGGAGTGTGAATTTCGAGGTGGGCTCCGTTGCCCGGGCTCTGAGGGTTCCCGGCGGTTGGGCCGGGGACGGCGAAGCCCCCACTCCCCCTTACCTTCTGTTGGAAGTAGAGAACCGAATAGTTCTTGGCTACAGCCGGGAGGGATGTGGGGTTTGTTGGCAAGTGTAGGCTGCCGAGGGCCCTTAAGGCCGGCCGGAGGGCCTTGGTGGCCCAGGGCGCCAGAAAAGACAGAAGCAGGAGCAGGAGGGCTCGGCGGCCCATGGCTCAGGCTGGCGGCTGCAGTGCGGGTGGGAGGGCGAAAAAGAGGCCAGCAGCAGCGCACGGGCTAAGCCCTGCCCAGTCTGCAGCTCCGCCCGCCGCAAAACGGCTCCTCCCGGGGGAAACCCAAAGCCAGCCAGCTCCTCAGACACCGCCCAAATCAGGTCACAACAGCCACTCCGCCCCCATCCCCGAGGGCACCGCCTCCACTCCACTTTACTCTCGTGCCGTCTGCTTCTTAGCACTCACCTTCATTGCGGTCACATCCCAAGTCTGCCTTTATCATGCTAGGGCCTCTTCCTACCTCATCGCTGTAGCCCATGCTTTATCTATAGCACCCCCGAAGCCCACCTGTCCTTCAGGTCACCCTATATCCCCACCATTATAATCACCGCCAAACTCTGCCCTGGCTGCCTCAATTCCATTGCTACACCTCCTGCCCTCCGCAAATCCCACATAAAGGCAATAACAGCTTCCATGACAATTTATTGAAGGTTCACTACAGGCCAGTATATCAGGAGGCAGGGAGGCACAGGCATCATCTCCTCTAACTCAATCGTCACAGCAATCTTGTGCGTCGTATTCGATTGTTATTCCCATCTACAGATGTGGAAACGGAGGCTCAGAGAGGTGCGGGAACTTGCACTAGATCACTCAGCAGTAAGCGGAGCACGTCGTCGCAGACCGCTGGGTCCAGCTCCAAAGACTGTGCTCCTTGCACCCACCTCCATCATGGAGCCTACCCACTCCCTATGATACTCCGTTCTTTGGTAACCCCAAAACTGTGTTGCTTGCACAACCCATCCATTACAGAGGTCGCCCCGGGTCCACATCGTCCCTAAATCCCGCCAGGTCCCGGTCCCTTCTTTCAAGTAACGCCCCCTTTCTTCTTCGGCACCCGAAAACCCACTCCGCGCTCCACCTCCCTCCTGCCTCCTGCCAAAGCCCCCTTCCCCCTCCGCCCCTGGGTAGTGCTAGCCCCTAGGACAGCGCCGGGTCTGGCTTCCAAAGCTCCCTCAACCCTCTTCATCCGGCTTCCATTCCCTCTTTCAGTCACCCCGCCAGACCCCAGGACGCCGAGGCCTGCTCCACACTTTCCGGGGATCCCTACGCCCAGGAGGCTCAGCGCAGCCAAAACCAACTTTACGGACTGTACTACTGATCCACCGACTCTACCCGCAGTTTGACGAAAATGGTCGTTCCCACAAGCTTGTAGGATTTCTTGGCTAAGCGCCACCCTCTGCGGCGCTTTCTTCTGATTGGCTCTGAGTGAACCCAGCCAAAGCGTTACTTCCGGCGGAAAAGGACGCGGGAGATTCGATTGGAAGGCTCCCGGCGAACTACTGATCCGGCCGGTCTGAGTTGCTGTGTGTCGCCTGGGCCAGCTACTGGTCTTCTCCCTCAGGTGAGCTGGGTAAAGGGGTTCTCGGGAAGCCTAAGGGCCGGAGACTCCCAAGGAGGCTCTTAACTTCATTATGAATGAGACCCACCCGGAGCCCGGCACTTGTTTTTTCACGAGTTATTCTCTGTAAACGGGCGGACATGAGGGTAAAAGATATAAACGTCAGTTATTTTATTTTAGACTCAGTGCAGTTGCAATCACCTAACGAACGTTTATTGAACGCTTACAGTGGCATCGAGCTAGACTCCGAGTGAGCTTTTAGAATCGGAGATAGAGTGGAAAAGGCGCGACTCTTGCTTCTGTGATGTGCAAATACGTATTCAGCGGGCCACTGTGCAGAGTAGTACGTGCTGAAAGGGGATCTGCCAAACTGGTATCATGGCTTAGAGGGAACATACTTTAACTGAGCCAGGTGCTTAAACCAGAACTTGAAAGTTTTCTTCCTTTTCGCATCCAGCCAGTCCCTAACAGCCTCTTGAATATCTCAGATCTGTTCACGTCTCTCCGTTTTTTACTGACATTATTTTGGTTCGACCCTATGACTGCTACATAGCTGTGGCAGTACCCCCACCTGCCCCAGCTGGTTCTCCTGCTTTCAATCTTGCCACATTCCAGTCCAGTCTCCACATTGCTGGGCTGATAAAGATAATTGCCCGAGGCACTCCCCATTGAAAACCTTTCAGTCGCTCCTATTTGCCCTCAGGTTTAAGCCCAAACTCTTTAACATGACTTACAGGCTCTTTCCTGTCTGACTTTTGCCTGCCTCTTCAGCCCCAGTGGTTTTGCACCGCTCCAGCCATATAGAATGTCTTCTGTGTTCCTGAAGTGTACTATCCTCTTTCTCACCCCAAACCGTCTTCTGACCCTGTCCGTGACCTGGCTAATTCTTACCCAGTTTGCAAAGCCTTTTAAATCAGAAACCCTTTCCTGACCCCACAAGACTGGATCACAGAGCAACAAGTAATTATTTGTTTATTCTGCAGATAGTTAAGTGCTGCTTTGGTCTGTGCCAAGAACTGCTAGGTACTGAGATCCGATGATGAACAAGGTAGATTCCTGTTCTAATGGAACTTACCTTGTATGGATAGAATTAAGGAGAATTTACAAGGAAACTATGTGAATTAGACTGGTCTAAGAAGACCTTTCCGAGGAGTTGATATTGATGCCTAAAAGATGAGCATGATCCAACTGTGCAAGAGAGGAAAAGAACAACATTCTAAACAGAGTGAACAGGTTGTGCAAAGGTCCTGAGGCAGGAAAGAGCTTGACATGTTAATGTTCAAGAATCTAAGGAAAGACCAGTATTGCTGGAATATATTCAGAAAGGACAGTTGTATGAGATGAATCTGGAAAGATGGGCAGAGACCGAATCATGATAAGGAGGTTAATCCAGCACCATAAACAGGAGATAATGGTGGTTTGGATTAAGATGATGGCAGAATATATAAGGGAAAGGTGAATGATGGTTTCTAAGTATGGAAGTAAATTCAAGTACCTTCTGATGAGTGTGATGTGGGATGTGAAAGAAAGGGAGGAATGACAAATGACTCCCAGGTACTGGCCTGAGTTACTGGTTAGTGAGTGGTACCATTTACTGAGATGGAGCAAAATTGCAAAAAAAGAGGTTTGAGAGGAAACTAAGAATTCAGGTTTTTAAACTATTAAACCGTGAGATCCCTATGAGACATCAAATACAGCTGGCTCTCAGGTAAGCAGTTAAGGTGTAGAAGTCTGGAGCTTGCATATATTATTTCATTGATAGTTATTTATTGTCTGTCTTAGCCAATAGATTATAAATTCCTTGAACACAAGAGCCTGTTTTTTCTCTCTTTAACCCTATTACCTTCGCCATCCCTGTAATAAATATCCCATAAATGACAGTCAACGGAAAAACCGTATTGTACTAAAATTTTCCTGGTTCATGTTTTTAAAGTATTTTTCATCAGTATTTCTCCTTTCACTGGGTTTTGTCTCTTTGTTTTTTTGTTTACTTAATTTTCACTGTCCTGCCTGCCTCTCTTACTTTTCTAGAGTTTTCGTGTTAATGTCACTAAATTATGTTTTAGAGACTAATTATGACTGCCTTTAGAAAAATTAAACAAGTATGTGCCCTTGGAGGAAACCATTAGATAGTGTTAAGAAAACAGTTCAAAATAGCCACCCTTCCCATAACTGAGGCCTCTTGGCCTGTAAATTATGAAATAGAAAATTGGATAATTACAAGGTGACAAAGATTTTCATGCAAGGCAAGAACAGTTTGGAGAGGAATGAAGAAAGGGAGAAAAGTTAGTCATACTTTCTTTTCTTTATGCCATTAGAACTAAGACTAGTTTTTTAAAGGAGTAATTTCATCCTTTGGGCACAGTCTTGAAGCAAATACACATAGTTTCTTTCAAGTGTGAAGCTTGAACAAAGAGAGTGATGTACTGGAAAGACTAGTAAGCTACTCATCAGAAGGCATGAGTTCCAGACCTGATTTCTCCTAATTCCTATTCTTTAATTCGTTATTTAACTTCTCTAAGTGGATCAGATAATGATGCAAAAGCACTTTGCAAACTGTAAAGCAGTCAAATGAACTCAAACTGGATTATGAACTTTAAGATAGGATTCATATCTTATACTTTTATGTTCTCTTCAGCCCCATCCCCAGATGCCAATTTACACTGAATACTTCACTGAACTTTTTCTCTAGGATCTAACATAGAATAAGATTTAGTTTAGATTTTCTAATCTAACCCAGTTATTCTAGATCTTCTAGTCTAGCCCAAAGAAGAAAAAAAGTTGTGTTGGTATGTGCATGTATGGGCACAGTTTTCCATAAATGATTAAGATGCCTTCTGAGAACTTGATTATGAAGTAGTTAAGCTGAAAGGTCACCAAATAATGGATTAGAGCAAAGAATTGCAAAATAATTTAAACGAGACTGAGATGCTGTCAGGCCTTGGGAATTTAACTATAACCATATTTATCACAAGTGTTATTCACCATGAGATAGTCTCAATGACTAAGCTACTGGTTTTCCAGTGTGGACAATTTGGCCATTACTTGGGAACTTATGAAAATGCAGATTCTCAGACACCCAGACTTACTGAATCAAACTCTGGAGTTGGAGTCCAGCAATCTGTTTTATCAAGCCTTCTGGGTGATTTTGATGTATGATAAAGGTTGAGAAATACTTGTCTAGTATGAAAATGGGATGCAGAGGTTGTAATCAGTGAGTTTATATATCTGGTACCACTGAAAAAATCATCTCTAGAATGAAAGATGCATCAGGCATTAGCTTGATTCCATTAAATAGTCGATTCACCACACAGCTCTTCTTCAAGCAACTTTCTGTTTGTAATTTGAGTATAATATGTAGTTATACCAAATATTTAAATACAGGCTTCTGATATGTCCCTTCCCTGTGATGGTAATTTTTCATGGTAAATTAGTAAAACATCTTTGGATTACGGTTCTGCTCCCCATAATGGCTTGTCTAAAAGGAGAGAAAGTATTCCAGAATATTCCATGGTAAATTAGATATGTACTATAGTGTGTCCACATGGACCCCACATATTTTAATAAGCATAAGTCTATCAGAGCCTTCATTCCTGGACATTGACCTGGGTTATCCCTGGGCTTTCAAAACAAAGGCCATCTGAGGCCTTAATTAGTTCTGCCCCAACACTTATACTTTTGTCCCTTTCTACCCTCCTTATTTCTACTTTTATGTGTGAGAGATTTAAAGAAAGCAAGCTTTTCTTTGTATATTATTGCTAATGTCCCTCTCCAGTATTTTTATTGTATTTATTGATTTTTTCTAATTATGAAAGCGATACACTTAGAAAATATCTTAAATATATAAAGAAAATAAAAATCGCTCTTAACACTACTACCCTGAGAAAATACTTTTTAAAAATAAGATTATGTATTTTCCTAAGTATCCTCTTCTCTTTCCCCATTCCTCCCATCAAAAACTAAATTAGTCCCCCTGTTATATCTTCTCATGGCACTATGCATTTCCGAAATAGAATTTGCCAGAATTGCAGGTAAATTTTTTGTGTGATTATTTAATGTCTGACTCTTACACTAGACAGTAAGTCTATTGACTAGGTAGGGACCTTGTCTGTTTGTCCATCAATCACGCTCTCCCCCCCAGCATTTAGCAGCTGCACAATTAATAACTGATGAATAAATAAATATGTTAGCATATTAAATGGGGATATGGTTTGCTGTGATGGAGCTGAAAGAAATGTAATACGATATCACCATCCTTCCCAATAAATGTTAGAAGAAAGATAAACTCCAAAAGATACCACATATGAAATTGTTCCCAAGTGTGTCATCCTGCCTTCCTAATTTTAGTGTTTACTTATTCCTGGTGTTTCATTCAATTATTCATCAGACATGCATCCACTATACTGCAAGTCATGCAGTAGAGAGAGACAGAAAAATAAAACAAACTCTAAAAACACCCCAGAGCCTAGGCAAATAAATAAATAAATAAATACAATAATAAACTAGGTGGCAAGTATGAAGGAAATACTATGAAAACACCAAAGGAAATTAATTAATATTAACTGTCTGAAAGCATCTTATTCTGTTATTGTCCAACAGACAATAAATGGGAAGCCTTTTCGCCAGTTTCTGGGGTTCACCAGGTGAAATACAAATAATAAAAATACTAATGACCCCTTTCATTACAGTTCTCAAATTTGCTGTTTTTATAGATTTTTAGACTTACTCATTTGATCCACTAGAGGGCAATAAACCCTTAAATAAAAACAATGTAACCAACCTTCCTTTAAAAGTATAGTAATAAGTGCTGGCACAATTAATTTAGAAATGAATCCAAAATTTCCTGCTTATTTAAGTTTTTCACTTATTGATGAGTTGTCTGCCCAATTAACAAATTTTTTTAGGACAGACAGTATGTTATTTTCACTTAGCCCAGTGTACGAGTCATATTACAAGTTTATTCCATTTCCTAAAGTTTGAATAGCAATTGTGTAAAGAATACG